TACGAAGTCTTATATTATAGGACTAGTTATATATCATGTATTGTAAATGAAAATGTTTGTTTTTAAGTTATGAAAGTAAGCACTATAATTTTTACAGATTAAATGATTTTTTTTTTCTCTGTGAATTACCATGGAAGTACTATTATTTAGTTGGGGTTTTTAAATGATTTTGTAGAAAATGAGGTGGTGGTCAATTACACCAAAATATTACGTTTTCATCAAGATACCAAACATTTAAATCAATTAAAGTACGTCAATAGGATAATAAATCTAACTTTCTGATGATCAATATAAAAACAAGTTGCTTTCTTTAAAAAAAAAAAGAAAAGCAATACGTGAACCCGAGAGCGCTGACTGGTCACCAAATATTCTTTGCTGAATTTATTTTTGCTTTTGATTTGAAATAATTGACTGTTAATAGAATGAGGTAGTGAAGATATTAAAACACCTTTTATAATGAAAATATGTTATTGTGTGTAGATTCTTGCACAATTCAATTTAAAGCACCGTTGGACTTTAGTTGTAAATAGAAAATTGTATACAGCTACAATTTGAAATTATCTGTTAAGGCTTGACTATTTTATTTATTACTTGGGAGTGTACATCATTTTTTCTCCGTGTTTTATGTAAAAAGACCTAATCCGATTGCAATTCTCAATTTCTGCAAACCGGATGTCTAAAGCAAATTGTACAGACCGATCATGATATAAAGTTCAGCACTCAGTTTGCTTCATAATCTGGATGCGTTTATTTTATTTTTCATATGTTCATATTTTGTTTCCTGAATGCTTTAAATTATTCTTATACTCATTGAAGCTGTCTGTACTCATGGAAGAGGTTGTATAGAGAAATTGAAAGTCCAATTTCCATGCGAAGTGTAACTCTGTGACACACATTATAAAAGAATATTTCGTATTTTGTTCTTGAGAGTAACACACCAGCTTTATTAAGACCTCTTATATACTGATAATTATTTGGTCAGATAAAACATTTCAAATTTTAAGGATTTCCTGAAGTAACTTAAATCAATTCAAAAATTCGACAGGAAAACTTAGTTTTGAAAAATATCTTGTTTTCATAAGTCTTGTGAATACCCGAACATGCACTCATGCGTTACGACTACAAAACATTATAAAAGGCCAAATATAGAACAAAGATTAGGAGCATTGAGGAACCAAAATTCAGAAAGGTTTTGCCAAATACAGCCAAGGTAATCTATTCCTCGGGTTATCCTTAATATTTCGAAAATTTCACAAAGTTTATAATAGGACTGTCACTCAAAAAGAAAGAAATAGATTAGAAAAACAACTAGATTTCGGAGTACCTCAATGATGAGCATGCTACTAAATAACGTTAAGCTCTTATTGCCGTGTCCTAGATTTTGTTAAGAAATGCAAAAATCACCTACCAAGTGTGAAATCAATGTTTACGCATGCACGTAGTTTTCCTGCGCAAGAAATAGTAAATGGCAAGCATACGCACTGATATTCTGAATAAGAATATGCATTTTTGAGTCATCACGTATGTTTATTCTAGGTTTAAATCTAATGTTAGTTGAATTCGGGTGTCAAACCGCCTACCGCAAGTGGTTTGACTCCGGATTCTTTGCCATTAAATCCGGAATTTGTGTCAACGCAAACCAATATTGTTGTCAAACCAGATTTTAAATCCGAGTTATTGTGTCGTGTGAATAGTGTGTAATAATAAGTAATATTATGTAAATAAACGACCAGACGTTTGTAGAGTAGCTGGTCAACACAATGCATACAATTTTCAAAATCGCACAATCATTGCAAAGATTTAGGTGCTATAAGTTTGAACTATTAAAAACATAAAAAGAATTAAAATTCAATTAACATACATTCCTAACTGTTAATAAATCTTTTCCAGAAATTTAAAATATACTATCAATAAACACAAACGTCAAGTATTTATACTAATGGCAATTTTTTTATCGAATCAATCTCTTTTTCAATTCTAACTTAATATAAGCAGAGACTTATCAAACCATGATACGTGAATGGTATAAAATTAGTAACGTATACGTAGTAATTATGATTACTGTAAAATATTAATTACGTTTATTGTGAAATGCAAGGATTCAAAATTCTTGTGAATTATAGCCATGCAACTATTTTTTTCATTCCCTACAGTTTAAACATTAGATACTATAATTTATTTGTGTTCATTCCTGATAATTGGCACTCATATGTTGCATATGATTTTCATAAATGTATTCACTGTTAAAACCCGCGGTATGATAATATAACATTAATTATATTCTATTAATGATGAATTTAGTTTCATGTTAAACTTTAATAATTTTAATGAATGTTTTATAATTTTGGTCTGTTAGTATCGATTAATGAAAATAACTATTTTAGACACAATACCGTTTTGTTAAATTATCTTTCTGTTTTCCGACCTAAGATAAATATTTTTAACAGCAATATCGTTTTGTTCATTTTCTTCTTGTATTCCGACATTTGCTCAGGCTATGGTGGAATTACAAATATGACATGTTAAACGTTCATAAATATTCAGTTTATTCTGGGACATAATTTAATGTCAGTATATTATTCCCATGTGTATTGTACATACAAAAACAATGCGTACAGGGACCGTCTCAAACATGAATTATAAACACTTTCAAATAAAAACGCATATGTAGACAAAAGTAAATAGGTTGTTATATATAAATGGCTTTCTTACTACAATCTATTCTTTAATTTTTCATTTTTCCGATCTACAAATGAACTTTAATTTGGTTGTCAAAATATTAATACAATGTAACGTGGTAACATATCAATAGAGGGACCGTATCAGAGACATAGATAACTACCTGTACAAATGATCGAACATTTTCGAGACGTTCCGAGAATCTTGTTTCCGAGGATATCGAATGCCCCATAGAAGCTTCCAAAACTCGCCAATATATAAGCGTGATCTCCTGAAGGGGTTTACGCAAAAAACGATGTGGTATAATTGCCAATGAGACAACTATCCAACAGAGATCAATTTACGTAGATGTAAGCATTTATATGTCACCGTATGGCCTTCAACGATTAGCGAAACCTCTACAGTCTTTTCTGGTCACACATTGCTTTATGATCAAAATCACGCGTTGCCTGATCTTTCACGATCAATTTTGATTAAAAATCAATAAAATTCTTCTTAAAAAAAAAATGTAACCTTTTTTAGGAAATATCACTTACATTTTATTTTTTAAATATATCATGATTTATTGGAATGTGACCATTGTAGATCTTAAATGTGTTTTTTTTTTCTTCTTCTTTAATCATTTGCATAAGGTTATGTGGCGCCTTTGAATTTTCTTAAAAAGCACTGCATTTTTTGTTTACCTTAGTGCACAGTATTATTACGGAAATTGAACCAATTTGACAGAAATTTTTTTTTTCTGATTTTTCCGACTGTTGATAATACAACGGATACATTTTCACAGATGTTGCAGTTGAATTTTATTTAATTGCTTTCATGATCTGATCGAAATGCTTGACCACCATTACTTATTCTTTCACGATAATTTTTCTCGATATAACGAATGACAGCCGTGATATAGCAATGTTACATTTATTATAAAAAGGGGTTTGTTCACAATCATGACTATCAGATATTTTTCTACCTTTTGATTTCGATAACATATCTTTAAAAAGGTTTATTCACCATAACTTTAAACAGTTCATTAAAAGTCTATTTTTACATTTTTCTACATATAATGTGTTTAGAGCATGCAAATTTAATGCCTTTTAATAGTAATCATTGGTTTTGAAGTATCTTATTACTTTTTACGCTTAATTAAATTTCTTATGAAATGTGTATGTTAATATTACAGTTAAAAAAAATGATTTTGTAATGCAATTTTTTTAGTTATAAAGTATTGCAAATTATTGAAACTATACATTACTGGTATACTCCCAGTTGTTATAAAGTGCAGGACACTCTGATTGGGCAAACTTCATATTTAAATTTTCCTATTTAATCATAGAATTAATAAATATACCAGTACATGTACGCTGTGCGAAGTGTGTTGTAAATGAGAGTAAGTCTAGATCGGTAGTATTTTGTTTTGTTCTCTATCTTTTGGGTTTAAAGGTGCTCTTAGATGGAGCCATTGTCAAGGTCATTCTTAAAATACCACTCTTAGAGGGAATAATTTATTCACGGAGTTATTAAGCTTGATATTAAAAAAAATTGCAAACACGTTGCACGAAAATAACCCTTTACCATCCTCTCTATAACAGATCATATGATGGTTTTCATCTCACTTGCAATCGCCCTTCATCTTTTTATTATGATAAGCATATATAGAAAATAAAATATAAAACCGAACACGATAACGCATATAAATTCAAAGTTGACCTTATATAAATTAAGCTATTGTTTTTAAAGTTCTTTTGGTCATAAAGCTCTTTGTATGTTTAGGTCATAAATATCATTGACCTTCAAATGTTCGGGTTTATGGGTCCTGAAGGTAAATCCAGAAAAGAACTCACGAAATTAATTGAATGTAGTTTCAAAATCTTTCCATCGTTCCATAATAGATTGGTGTGGATCCCGAGGCAGTGTTTCTACTGAAAAAAAACCTCGGGATCGCTTGTGCAATTTTTCTACTTAAACAAAATCTTGGGATCACGTGAGATTTTGAGATTTCAATAGTGAAAAAAGACTACGTTCCATAACAAATCCTTGATTGGGTATGTTCGAACGTCTAGGAATTCAGGATCACATGGCTTTCTTCAAAATATGTTGAAATAGGTATTTATGCATTTCAATATCTTCCTCATTATTAGTTTTATAACGCATTCTATATAATTTATATCCCACCTGGTATAGATGGATCCTTTTATATCCTACATGTAAATAAGATATCAAAAAATGTCATTTGTAGACTTTCAACTGATGAATCACATTTTTCATGATTCTCGATCGATCGATATACATGTATGATTTCTTTTAATGTATATAATTATGCATTTCAGCTGCATGTTATCCGAATCCTTGTTTAAACAGTGGCACATGCCAGGACCTGTCAGGCGGTGACAAGTCCACATTTAGTTGCACGTGTACTGCAAATTATACCGGAGCAACGTGTGGTAAGATATTTATAAATAAATTATAAATCTGATTGTAAAGAAAAGACTATTAACGATATACTGAGTGTCAATACAAACGCAAAACAGCATACTCAAAGACATTTCTTTTATAATTTACAGGAAAATAACAAGTACTTTTATTTTATTTTGGTCATAACCATTTATTGTTTTTTTACTAAAGAGTAGAATTATATTGATATCATATTCCTTTTACAATAATGTTGCTTTCAGTTTATTTTAATTATCAATCATTGGCTTAGATAGAACAAACGAAATTAATAATTTCTACATTTTCATGAATAACGTTAAAGAAATGTTTCTTAAATTGCAGATCAGGAGATAACTGACTCAACTGACCCAGGCTTGTCCGACGGGTAAGTTAAAAGTATTTTTTCTTACATATTTTAAGGATCTTGTCTAAATGTATAATTTGCAAACGAGAAGTTTAACCTTGGTACTGTCAATGGCAAATATTCAAATTAAAATATTCACAGGTATGTTTAACGTTCCATCTAGACGTATTTAAACATTCGCCGTTCTATGAAGAACCACATAACAACTTAATTTAACTTTGAGAAGACACATCATACAACCGGACTAAATCGTTTGTTCAACATCCGACGAATACGAACCCACAACGCTGTATTATTGAGGAGCGAATAAGGAAGTCGGTGTGTATTTAAATTAATTTTCTCCAAATTACAATTTCTTAAATTAATCGGAGTTAAAACAGTTTTATAATACTATGCTTAGTCAAAATGGGTTGGTTTAGTGAGTCAGTGGGATATTTTTATCGTCCTTTTTCAGAAACCGGTGAAGATTTAAGATTGCAAGTATTCGATATATGAGAGTTTTAATTTACCTGACCGTAGCAAAATCATTGCGATTCCTTTTCTGTTTTTGTTTTATTTAAAATTCATACGGAGAATTTGGATACCGTGATCACATGTGAATCATTTTCATTCAAGGGGTCTTTCGTAAAATTTATTTCCCTAATCATAATTACTGCATTTTTATCCTGAAAAGTACACATACAATCTACGGATAAGTTTCTTTTAGTATAAACTAGTTTTAAAAGAGAGGCTGAAGAGACCAAGGGGACATCCATAACTCATAAGTCGAAGTACTGACAACGCCATGGCAAAACACAAGCGACGAAAAGAAAAACCACTGCATAAATAACTGTAGATTGAGCAACACGAACATCACTATAAACCGGGGATCTTATAAGGTGCTCCAACCGACCATCATTGTAAGTGTTTCAATGTAAAATTCAGGATTCGAGGCAGACTTAAATGTAACTGTACATTTTATCTGAGATGTCATTTATTTAAAAGTCAATGGGATAGAACCGTTTAACAAAGTCATCACTTATTTAGAGGAACATGAAGTTTAAGGAAAATGCTTACTTCTTTTTGGTCTTCCTGAGATTGATTGATTGATTGTCAGTTGCTTCATGTTCAGTGGCAAATATTTCATGCATGTTCAGGACGAGAACATTTAATACAACAGGTAGGTCTTGTAATGTAGACCTCCCAGGAGTAAGTCTGGGAGATTTGGACTGCCACTGGAAAATGAGGGTACAATGGATAGAAACAGAAACTTCGCCTTGCAATAGGGCACTTACGGACCCCACAAACAGTTGTTGCAAAGGTTCTATATATTATACGTGCAGAGAGAATGGCACTCTCTTTACACGAGGCATCGAATTTAACGTCCCTATTCTGACCGGACGTGGCTGCGTAATTGTACATCCCGCACAGTCAATTGGATGCCCCACTTTGGCAAGGGTTTTTACTGCAGTCCGAAGAAGACTATGTGACCGTATTTCTATTCCCAAGGGACCCTTTGCGGTGTCTTTCTGAGAAGCTCCTGTGTTAAGTTGTCGCATTAGAGCCTCATTTAGGATTGTGAACCGTTTAAAAAAATTTATGATTGTTTTATGTAGTTGAGGGTTTTTATAATTATTTTGCTATTTTTTCCTTTAATTACATTATTGACTTCAACAATATACTGTATTTCTGCCTTAAATATTTTAAAGATATCTATTTTTTTTTCTTTTTGATTCAGAGATATAATATGATTTATAGATAGAAAAAAATATTAGAGTCAAAAGGTAGTTAATTTCATTGTAAGCTTCATCGTTTATTTTATATCCTACTATAAGATTTTCCATATTTAGAATGCTTTCATTGAAACCTAAGAAGTTAAGTAGGCTTAATATTTTTGATTTAAAATCATTGTTGTAGCTTCAAGAGAGATAAACGGTATAAATCTTAGGAAATGTATTTTATCGTGAAATATGTTGAGTTATTTCAACAATATTTATTAAACTGAACAAATTTTTAAAACATCTTGTTTTCATTGAAGAAATGAAAATATGAAAAATGAACAATTTTCTTCCTTGTGCTACATAATAACAGAGGTGCATGATCATATCCGTCCACTTGTTGACTCTGGGATTTTAATAAAACTAAAGTAAAATCATATATATATAATATAGAAATGTACATGTAAACGTTTAAACCGAGACGTATGTTCGGGTATGTCAGGCCATTTGCATTTGAAAGAAAAATCAGTTAGTATGAGATTAAAACCAATAAATGAATATGGAACTATGATAGTACTATTTCTTATTTTTGTATGAAGTTCTTCCATATTATCGTGTAGTATCATGTGTGATATTGAAGTTGCATGACTAAATCGGAACTCTAAATGACTGTCAAACAGAGAGTGTCGGTAAAATTTGGTTCAACTCCTAACAATCCATTGCCAGTGTGTGAATGATCATCGTTAAAACTTTTTTTCTATAAAATGGGTGGGGGGGGGCTCGGTGGCCAAGTGGTCTAAGTAGTTCTACTACTGTAATCACTAGCCAGTCAACACTGAGGTTGTGAGTTCGAACCCCGCTCGTGCGGGTGCACTCGGCTCCAATCTTAATTGACTAGAATTGTCAGTTTTCCTATCGAAGGTCGGTGGTTTTCTCCGGGCACTCCGGCTTCCTCCACCAATAAAAACTGGCCGCCACGAAATAGCCAAAATGTGGCGCTTAAAAGTGGCGTTAAAACACCAACAATCAATCTATAAAATGGCCGGTATTTATGAGCATTATTTCCTTAACACTAAAATTGAAGTTATTTCATGTTATACATAAATTTTCAATTTCGATTTTTTTTCTGCTTTAGGCTATGGCTTGATTAATAAATTCGCACGCAGTTAATATTTGTATCTTATTATCTACATAAAGTTTGAACTAATTCTATTGTTAAAAGGCCTTGCAGCGTCGTGTACTGTTAGTATAGATGTCATAACTCACAAAAATAGGCTCGTATTGCAAGTCGCGGTTGGTATTTGATATATCAACGTGTCGAAAACTCGAAAATGTGTTTATCGTATACGGATTCTGGTCATTTTCCGTCCTCAATTATTTATTCTAAAATAAATTTTCCTACATGAAGTAAGCAGGATTATTTCTGCTTTCAATTTGTGCTAAATGTATTCTCGCATTGAGACGTCGCTCTGAAGTTCTGCTCTGTTCATAAGATAGAATTTTCTTTTACTTTGCCGGAATGAAGATTTTTTTCATGCTTTTTTCAAAAATATAATAAAAAGTATGAGTTATCGTGCTATTTTTCAAGCTACGAGTCGTGCAAAATTGCCCAAATATGCATAGATTGTTCATGAAAAATCACTTTTTTGTGAATAAAAGGTAATCTATGACATAGAATTTTGAAATAAAATATGAAAAGATAGGTTTTAACATATGCTTTAAGAATTAAAAAGAAATACCTTGTTTTCTTGCTACAAGTAAAAATTGAAAATGTCTCTATCATTCCTTTATAAAAGTTATACTATTTGAGCTACCTCCCCTTAAATTGCTAAGTTGACAATTTGATTCGAACAAACACAAATATTTATTATTTGATAAATCAGTCTGAATAATGCAATAAATCACTTATTTTTCTTTATTCCAATAAACAGTCTAACCCCTTTATTGCAAATGTGTCTCAAAACTTGAAGATTTAAGCAAAGAACTAGACCTATTGTGAACTGCTATTTTAAATCCAAGATGGCGGTATACAGTTAATCTACCTTAATATGGATTTAACTACAGCATCGATGATATTCCTCCGCTCGAGACAGTAACATTTTCAAAAATAAGCTTGCAAAACGTTTTAAATATTTAAAAAAAAATGGCGAAAAATAAGAAATACAGTTGTGGAATCTGTTTTCTCTAACGATTTTAGACGATACGGTATGAAGCAAATTTTATCTTTCTTTTTCACTGATCTTCAAAAAGACCGTGTTCTTTTTGTTCAACGTCACCAGGCTCGATCGCCTTTTTCATAATGTCTCAAAAGCGTAATCAGAGAAATGCAAGATTTGACGTTACAATTGAATTTTGACCAATGAAGAACAGAGATCTAGCGAACCACACGTTGAATATGAGAACAAACATCAACCGGCCTGGGAAAATTTAACCGGCTTAGAGTTTATATTAATAAATGTGGTTATGAATTGCACGAAATGATATAGAAATATCTAGGAAAACGATAACAAATCTGCTTTTATTCATATTTTATCACGTCTTTATTAAGCTTGTACATGTATTCCTAGTATATACATGTATAAACAATCATTTCATTTTTGTTTTCTCTTGTAGAGAAATAGCTGGTATCGTAGTTGGAAGTGTGGTGTTACTAGTACTTATAGTTGTCATTGCTATAATTATTTGGAAATTTTGTTGTCAAAAATGTAGGTATACAATTGTTTAAGGATGTAGTCAGGGGGAAATCTGGAATTTAAAAATTGATACTATAAATCAGAAGGGCATTAGTTAAGGAGCAAAATAAGCTAAAATTTTTGATAGGTTATGGAACTCCTTTTCGAGATATTTGATTTTTAAAACGTGGCGGGAAAAGGCTGACTCGGACTTTTACCTTATATTTAGCATTGGCATTATTTGGGTCTCAAATCGGAAGAAAAGAAATCTAGAATCTGCTTACATTTTGGTAATGACCTTTTTTATGAGCTATTGAAGTCTTCTAAGAAAATAAAAGTCGGTGATATGGGGCCTAATATTTTACCCTGTATCGTAGGAACAAAAATCAAGGAGTCCGAACATCCGACAAAAAGTTCCTTAACCTGACATGACTACATCCTTAATGTTAATCATAAATACTCATTATTGGTCAATAAATAGTTTATTTTTTCTAGACAAATGAGACCCTTTAGGCGTTACTTTTAAATCCTCCTATCAATGCAAGTGATCTTAACCAAACTAACATGTTGTATGGGGACATACACGTTTATTTCTATAATAAATCATTAATTTTATTTGTTTTGCATGCTTTTAAGTATTCAACTTGCATATGAAATTGATATAATTATAAAACTTTTAGCTAACACGAGAGAACCATGAACTTTAAAAAGAAGATGAGATAGTGTGTATATTTTACCATAATTTAAAATCTTTGTATCAAAAACATAATATTTGTGTAAAGTACTGTTTTTTTCTTTCGTATGCTTTCCATTGGTGTATTTTCTGCTAAATATTTTGTATGCAAACATTTTTATGATCAATACAATCTCACCATGTATTCAATATAGAATATATGTGATATATAGGAACAGCCAATAGTAAGAGTACAATTATACACATTCCAAGTTTTCAAAGGGTGTTTTATTCATCCGGTTGTGTGGGAGGCACTTTAACTCATCATTTAAAGGTTGTTTCAAAAACAAATAAAATCTTTTTAATAAAAAAAATGCTTTAAAAGGGTTGTTTTTATCTATCTTGTTGTGTTGTCATAACACTATCTTTCGAAATTTAGAGATTCACATAGTATTTTTCTTTTTGTTCTTTTTGTGATCAGTATTATTTAAAAATCATTAACATAATTGTCAATTTTATTCATGCTTATTATTGCCATTATTTATATTTTTTATTATGAACATCTTTCTTGTGTGTTAAATTGCACAAGCAGTTGATAAAAAGTCGTCATAGAATACAGTCTCATTATGCCGATACTCAAAAAGACTCATTCCATTGTTATATCAACAAATATGTCATAATATCATGACAGAGTGTTTTGTTTCAGTGTGTACTGGATTAAAATGCAAAAGGCCAATTTTAGACACGGTACCCCATAAGCATTAGAATCTCATGGCTAGTCACATGTCGTTTTGTTTTTATTGTGCGGTTGGGTTACCGTCTCATTGGCATTTAATCCAATTCCATATCTTTAAATATTATTTTCTCATTTTTTGCATGTGGCCCAAAATTCCGTTTTAATAGGATTAAGCAACTACTTTGGATATATATGAAAGAATAAAATGCAACTTTTAGTTCAGTGAGAACTTTGAGAGTATACAAACACGTTGAGGAAGGCGAGATATAGAAACGTATGATGTTTTGCAATTATTTCTTTTTGCATGACAAAAACATTCACCAGATATAAAAATAAGTGACACAATCTTACTGACAATGTAAGGATCCGAAACAAAAAAATATCTGATATATAGAGCATCAATGAATTTTTTTTTCGGAGATAATTTAAAAATAAGAAGATGTGGCATGATTGACAATGAGACAACTATTTACCAGAGAATAAATGACGTAGAAGGTTAGCAACTATAGGTCACCGTACGACCTTCAGCAATGAGCAAAACCCATAACGCATAGCAAGCTACGAAATGTCCCGAAATAACAAATGCAAAACAATTGAAAAGTGAAAAGTAACGGCTTGATTTATGTACAAAACAATAAACGAAAAACAAATATTATATGGTTGACAAATTTGTTTTGTTTTTTTTTTCAGCGGAAAATGTTGCCATGTAATGATACAGCAATTCCATGTTAATTCAATATAACCCGTCATCAAGTCAAAGAAATCTTATTCCGTCCGTGGCAAATAATATAGTGATCGTAATATGAGATTCTTAATATTTTGATTATTCATTTTAATTTGTTATATACATTATCAAACAAAAATGGTGTACTGGTATGATTGATTTAAAATTGTTACATCTTATTGTTGTAGTGTGATAAAATTGACCGTTATGGCATATCCGTTTAACAGATGATAGCGGATATGTTCCTAAGGTCGTAACTACAATCCCGTTCCCTCTTCACGAATGTGACCTACCGAATTAGACTGTTTACCGGGTTTATACTAACATGAGCAACACGACGGGTGCCACATGTGGAGCAGGATCTGCTTACCCTTCCGGAGCACCTGAGATCACCCCCAGTTTTTGGTGGGGTTCGTGTTGCTAAGTCGTTAGTTTTCTATGTTGTGTTTTGTGTACTATTGTTTGTCTGTTTGTCTTTTTCTTTTTTAGCCATGGCGTTGTCAGTTTATTTTCGATTTATGAGTTTGAATGTCCCTCTGGTATCTTTCGCCCCTCTTTTATTAGTTCGTGGATAGCTGTGAAACGAAATGGAGGTTATTATAAACTATCGAATGCGCAAACATAAACAACAATGCACATGACATTGTGTTTTTAACATTTTAATCAGTCTGATTATTCATTTCAACTGTTCTATGAGATTTCGAATCATCTAAATTAATATACAACCAGATATGGCACGCCTGACATACTTTTTTAGATATAATCCTAGATTATCTCAGATAAACTAGGATTATCTCAGATAAACTAGGATTATCTCACTATTTTACATTAAGCTCAGATAAACCGGGATTATCTCGATTTTTTTTTCAGATAATCCCGGTTTATCTCAGAATTTTAAGATAAACCGGGATTTTCTCAGCTTAATGCAAAATTGAGATAATTCATTATATTCCTTATGGCACGCCTTTGGCACGCCTGAACTACTTTTATAGATAATCCTAGATTATCTCAGATAAACTAGGATTATCTCAGATAAACTAGCATTATCTCACTATTTTACATTAAGCTCAGATAAACCGGGATTATCTCGATTTTTTTCAGATAATCCCGGTTTATCTCAGAATTTTAAGATAAACCGGGATTTTCTCGGCTTAATGCATATTTGAGATAATTCATTATATTCCTCACAAAATTAGATAAATAATTAACTGGAGAAAATCCGGGATTATCTGAAAATTCTGAGATAATCCGGGATTATCTGAGAATTTTGAGAAAATCGATTAACTGAAAAAAAAGTAGCCAATAGAAAGCCACGACACATTGGAGGAAAATTTCATGGTCATAAGGGATAAGATATAGATACAATGGTGCTTCTATACAGATAGAGAAGAATGAAAGATTACGCTCTTACGGGAAACGTTTATGAAGTTTTAAATTTCCAAATTTTATAAAAATAACAATTGATTTATTCAGGATGTACATGTATGACAAGTGTATCGATAATAATGAAGATCAGAGGGATCTAGAATTTAGAAGTTTGTCTTGAGAGGTTTTTTTTAAGAGAATTTGAATGTTATATCCGTATTTGTCTTTATGAAGATAGTGAAATATGTTACATAAATCTGGTATCCGCATAATCAACTAGGACAAATAACTAAAATGTTGAAATAAGTTAAGCAAAGTTGAAATACACCATTTCGAAGTTCTAATGAGTTTTCTTTTAGAAAGTTATAATCGTTAAAAAAAAAAATATCACGCGCCGTTTTTCTTTCCTTAAATTTCCCTATTAAAAGAGTAAAATATGGTGCAGGAATTTATCATCCATTTATTGCAAAGTGTTACGGTGTCTTCCTCCTATTCCCACTTTTAAAAAATCACTATTCCTTCTATTCCCACATGTAAATAACAATAGATGTTTTGATAAATAATTTGTTTTTTATAACAATCAAGGTTAATTAAAAATTTACTTAGTTTTACCTGTATTTTTTAAAAACAAACATATTTCTTACACTGTTTAAGTATATTATTTAAGAAAAATAAAAATTAATACAATTTATTTGTAAAATGTTTTTTCTTCTGCAAAGAATTACCTTAAAATAAGAATATTAGTCAGATAAATATAAGTAATATAAGATTAAAAAATCATTGAATTTGTAAACCTAAAAAATGGTCATCCGAACACATAAATTGATGATAGATAATATAAAAACAAACTTTCCCATCTTGCAAGATTTCAAAGTACCACAAACGCAAAACGAACCTAAAACGAACAAAAAAAAACGTTTATGATATCAACATAGAGGGTATTTGGGCACGTACTACCAAAGGTGACCAATTCTTGCTAACGGACGACAACACAGTTGGGTGTATGTTAATTTCAGTACTCAAAAGAATCTAACACATTAGCAGCAGCAGATATCTTATACTAGTATGGTAAAGGTACATTTTACTCCTTTCCAAGACTATTTTTCACACTTTATACATTTCACGCAATGGTTGACGGCGCAATGTATCCACTGGTACACAGTTTACTTCCAGTCAAGAGCGAACTAGTATACACAAGGTTCTTGACTTTACTCAAATTTAGGGTCCATACAAGAAAGACAACAACATTCATCAACTAGTACGCCGTGCCGCTGTCATTCCACTTATGCCTACTGCTGAGGTCGAAGATGTGTGATTTAATGCCCTAACCAACATAGATCAGATTTATACTAAAATCAACTACACGCCGTTTACAGACAAAGTAACAAAATACTGGTGGGACTATTACAAAACACATGGACTGCGGACTACACATCATCTAAAGGCAAAGCAAAGCAAGCGGAAGAAACATTCCACATCCAAACATCATAAAACTACCGAAACATGAGGAAGCTACGCCCTGACTATGATCCAGTATGTAGCCGGTGGGAAGAGAGTGACCCAAAAACGAAAGTATGTCGAAATCAACAACAGGTTAGAAGAGCTTATGGATAGATACTTCAACCAGGAAGTCACAACAGTACAGTTTGGTGATGCAGCCTCCCACCTTATTCACGTTGAATAGATTAATAAACTATGATAAACTAATATACAGTGAATTTCTAATGTGTGTGCTACAATGTGTGGTTTGTTTTAGTGCTGTTAACTTGTATTGTTTGTTTCATATTATAATGCTTGCTTGACTCTACTGTTGAATTTGTGTTATACAAGAAATTAAATAATTAACATTTCTTTCATATTTATTTGAATTAAAAACACAGATTTCATACACAAACAAAAATAACCTATTACCTATCATAAAAAACACTGGTCAATTAAAAGTTGATTAAACAATGTTTATACAGTATAATCCTTTGTTTGCACAAGTTTTCCTCCTATTCCCACATGAAATTTTAACTTTTCTCACCAGATTTATAAAAAGTGGGAATAGGAGGAATGAACCTGTGTTACATTTTAGTACTTACTTGGTAAGTTGTATAAAGTGTTTGTTGTCAATTAGATAATCTAATCATGATAATGACAAATGCCCAATACCTGAAATATTTATTACCTTACAACTCTATTATATTGTTAATCAGTTTGTTTTTTAACGACACGTGGCCAATGCATAATTAACCTTTAGACAAACGCTGTTAAAACGTGGTTTTGATCCCTGAAGGACGCCACACTTTGCAATGAATTAGATCTATATTTGTTAACGTTTTCAAATTAAATAAACTGAATGGATTTCTTAAAATTCTCAAATGGCTTTAATATTATTACAAACAAAACGAAACGTTTATTTAACATTTTTTGCAACTTTTATCTTTATTTTTGTTCTAAGAAAACCTTTCTTGCTTGGTTAACTAGTATGTGTTGATTACCTTCACTTAGAATATAGCAAAGTACTCTCGACCAATGAAATTGTAGAATTGGATGCCTCTTAATTGTGAAGAATGAATGTAAATCATGTTCTTAGTAAGGGATTATCCTATTATTTGGGTCTATTTACAGTTCAAAACAAAGAGTTTCTATAAATGAGTTACAACTGCCCCGAAGCACATTTATCAGATTGAAAGGATTTATCACAGAGTGATTGAAACTGACTAAAAGTTGAATTGTGAAACAAACAAAAATCTCAAAATAAGTTGAAGTTTACTGGTGCAGTAAAATTGGTACCGTGAATTTTATTATGAAAATATTAATAACTTCAAATTACTATAAAATTAAACATTACCAAAGCAATGCAAAAAAAAAAAGGAAAAAAATCTTTCAGATAAAAAATAACCTAAATCTTTAGCTTTCCAAAATTTTGATTACTTGATCAGTGGTTGGGGAGAATAGTTATTTCCAATACAATTATTCCGATAAAAAACAGGAATTAAATTTTAAACATATTAAAAACTTTTAAGGGCATTATTTTTTAGCATTTCCCTGACATAATGAAACAGTATTTGATGTGAAAAGCCGGACCAAATTATTGGCTGTGAAATAAAATTTAGTTGTAACTCTAATATATTAATTGATTTAAACTGTAAATAAAACAGGATAATTCCTCACTAAAATATTACATGATTTACATTCATACTCACAATCAGGAAACATACAATTCATACCTTTTCTTTCTACTGTTCTATAACGCATTTTTTTTAAAAATATTTCCCAAATGATAAGAAAGTCCTCACATCACTAAAACTTATCCATAAATGACATGCCGAAACAGGAAGTCATGCATCAATTATAAACATTGCACTGACAACGAAACTAATTCTCAGTGAATAGATCATTTGAGCCTTGAGCACTTTACAATATTCTAAGTTTGTAAGAGAATGATAATCCCTTACTTCATGATAAGTACTCGCTAACGCTCGTACTTATTCATGAAGAAAGGGATTATCATTCTCTTACATATACTAATGACTAAAGATCAGACGACCTAATTAAGTATTTGTATAGACCTAATCAACATGATAATTGGTATCGAATATGATCATCGGTCATGCATGACATATTCCAAATAACGGCGCGTGTTAATAAACACTTCATTAACTTCTGAAATATTCAATTAATTTTATTCAAACAAAAATATTAAGATAAAAAAATAAATAATTTATCGGACGCATACCCTCAACGCCCACTAAAATATCTATTACATGTCCTGAGTGCACTCAGGAGGCCCTGAGCAGTTTTTAAACGTACCGCAAAATTATTACTT